TTTTTATGGTTTATTTAAAGTAACAGACATTTTGAGGGTTTCCAAATGTTTACTTAAGTTTATTCAAATCCTACAGATTGGGGTTTATCCAATATAATTTGGGAAAGAAGAAACCTTTCTTATAATAGATGGCTTGTCAAAATTGTGCCAAAATTAAATTTATTTTAACCCGTAAAAATGGTACTGAGTAGTTTACAAACGCAATATGAACCTTGGTAATTTGTTCAGATAGATTTATAAAAATACCACAGACAAGACAATCTTCGCTATTGTAGGTAGAAAATATTTAAAAACTTCTTGACTATATTTTGCCGGTAGCTTTCAACTAGCAATTATCACACCTAAAACTTCATTGGTTGGATAAATTGCGTCATTTTTGCTAAAAGGAAAATGTAGGTGAATTTTGTAACATGGGCAAAATAGTAATCTTAAACAATTCCGGGAGATCCAGATACTGATTATAATCTTTCTTATCAACAATATTGACATTTAATAGAGAGATTTTATGAAAGAATCAAAACAACGGTTGATATTACTGTTATCAATCTTTACACTCTCTTACAACCATGCTAAAGCTCACAGTTTTGTGTTGTACAATCTTTTTCAACCAATGTCATTCACACCAACTTGGCTTCGGAAAGTTCACGATAGGCAACCTCTTCCGCCAACTTGATTCAAGCGTTTGCACTTTCTTGAAGACCGAAGACAAGAGAGATCCTAAAATGATGCTGCTAGAAATGGAGGCTTTGAACAACGTAATCAAAGATTTGATCAAGTTAGTAAAAAAGCCGTTGATTCAGTTTAAAAAGAGGCCTGCATCGTTGGCACAAGCACTCATCAGTAGGAACAGACCTGAATACCTCAAGTTAAAAGTGGAAGATAAGGAACTACAGAGGAAATATAAGTTCAACACTGCACAAATCGGACAGTTTTGGGAACTTTACGACAACACGAGAAAATTGAGGATGGAATTGGCTGAAGTTGTGAGAGAAAAGTTAATGATTCCGGACTGAAATGAACTTGACTGTGGGGAGAAGAAACAGGGTTTGTATAAAATTAAATTATTTCTTTATTCGTACAGTATGCATTATTGTAACCACAGAGAATTTGATTATCTAAAAGTATTTTGCAAACAATTGCATGAGAAAATAGTGATTTATTTTGCCTTCTATTTAACAGACTACTCATTAAAATACCTCCTTCACTTTGTTGAACAGAGACATGGAATTTTTTCCAACTAGCCTTGCACAACGGCTTGCACCGTATCTAGCTCTCAGTTTATGTTCAACTAGACCAAAACCCAGACCATGTTGGTATTATTGTTGGAATTATTGGTAAAATACAAAGAATACTTTGGACAAACCATGAGAAAGAAGTCCACATACTCGTATCTTCACTCTCCGTAATCTTTGAGCTGACCATGTCCACCGAAAGTGATCTTACTTGATGTTGAGCCTATAGACGGACTTATTGCAACTTAGGCAGAAGAATGTATGTCCGAAGTCATTGTAAAGCATAGGAATAATAATGCTATAAAGTGTGTAATAAAGCAAGATTGTTTTAACACATGGGCTACAAGATGGTGAATTCTCTTCTTGAAGATGATTGGAACCAATCCAAATCCATCTTCATTATAAGGAATTCAAGACGTTTTGACGTGTTTATACGTAGAGTGTAAAGAATTTGAAACATATTGTTTATTTTTGTGTATATTTGTGTTTACCATTTATCTAGACACCCACTACTATAAAATAGATTACAGATGAGAAAACATATTTACACAGATTTTACAAAATATTTGACTTTTGATACCGTCTAAAAATGAAAACTTAGTCTTGTTCACGCATACTGGTGCAAACATTGATATCCTAATAGTCTCTAAACTATTTATTATCACTCTTCAAAGTTTCAAGTCTAGCTGTTATTTCACAGAGGTAATAGAACCTTCAAACAAAGATAACACTGGTGAAATGAAGATAAATGACAAACAAGCTTTCTGGGTAGGAAGAGAGAATTTGGTCCAAGCTTCGTCAATAAATGAAAACATGTTCACAGAAAGCACATTCAAGTCTGGATTTACTATAGGTTATTTTATTAAAAAGATTGATTTAGATTAAGAATAATTTTAACCCTTTGAGTGCCAACGTCCGGGGAACCGGACGTTTTTAAAACGAGCCAAAAGTGCCGACGTCCGGCCGACCGGACGTTTTTAGAACGAGCCAAAAGTGCCAACGTCCGGCTGACCGGACGTTTCGTAATGATCGAACAGCTGTCATAACAACCGAATGGATACTCGGATTCTTTTAACCCATATATTAACATTGAGTCGAAAGTTACTAGATGCGATACATCGATTTTCGTTGGTCGAAATATCGAAAATTCGATTTTTACGAAATTTTAACCTAAAAATCGCCAGATCGCGCTCGGCATTTTTAGCGCGACCTTCGGGAAAAATCATCGGCATTTTTTGAGCGATACTTTTATTTCTTGCCTGGCACTCTAAGGGTTAACCTATCGGAGGTATTTTGATTCATTAATACAATGATAAATAACCTTTGAATACATCCCATGGGAGCAAATAGCCTACGAGAAAATTTGCTTAGAAATTCCTAAGTACTTAGGAGATACTAACATGGGAAAAGAAGAGACAATTTAGAAACACAAAGAATCCAATGCAAGATCAAAGAAATTACTATTCTTCTCACAATTAGGGAAGTATTATATGTTTAAACTTATTAAAGTGTATGCATCATATTTAATAATCTGGCATCACTTTACGTTCTACCAGAGAATAAAAATCAAGTCATGATTTAATCAAGATATTTAAAAGTGTCTTGACTTCAATTTGTTTAACTGGTTACAGATATTTTCCATCAGGAAAAACCAAGTAAACGCAACATTTTAAAAACATAAACTGCTTCTATCTTGAATTTAAAAAAATAACAATGGCAGTTAATTTGAAACAAGAATTCATTTATACAAGACTAATTATATGACAGGCTGGTTGGTTTCTAACATGTACATCTTTAAAAATGGTATTTAATTTTCACAAAAGAGCATTGCTAACTTTTATCAACATGAATCAGTGAATTGAATACCTCATTAAGGTTTTAATATTTCAAAATTGTAAACTCCTACACATTTTACATCACCATTCATTGTTGTTTTAAAACAAAATTCCATGTGTCAAACATTCATATCATGATTAGATGTAAACATATTACATCACCAGGTTGAAAAATTAGGTCAACTATCACCAATGTTCAATGTAGAGACTAGCCAGTTCCTTTCCTCCAAGCTACAAATAAATGAAACTACCCATCGTCATACTCCTGTTCATTGTTCAGTCGGGACTGATGACAAATTTAGCACGACTTATCAAACGGTTGGACATTAGACTCAATCAGTTAGTGAGGGACTCCCATGCCGGGCCGAGAACATACTTGACCACCATCAACCAGATGATAACTGCGCTTTTGGAGCTTGCGGAACGCATCGCAAACCCGAGGTCTCACAGCGGAATTCTGCGTCTCGGCCAAGCAGTGATCAGTAGCGGCACACCACATTTTGTCAAGTACAAAATCTCGGATGCAGAACTCACCAAGAGATTTAGATGGACGCCTGAAGAACTCCAAGACTATTACGAACTCGTCAACAAAACTATCGCAAGCCGTAAACAGTTGGACAATATATGTCGTAAGGTCTCGTTGGAGTACAAGGTTTACAAATATTACTACAACAACAGACAACAGATTGAGATAAAGGCTAACCGAACGGGGAAACGGACGAGACTTCAGCATAATAGGACAGTGGAGTTGTTGTGAGTGGAACTTTTCTACATAACAGTAAGTGAGTAATAAGTGAGCAACCAATGCTGCAACACAGAACAACATGGGAAACCTTCCAACAAAGACAACATAATGAATTAAATTTATTTGATATAAACGAGATATTTTGATTGCCCATTAGTTTGATGCGTTTTAAAAACTAATTTGTAATTACTTTAGAATCTGAGATTTGTTATAATAGTTGGAAATGATTCATGAAGTTTAGTTGAAAATGTAGCTAAATCACTTGAAAAATGTGATTAATTGGTTACCGACCACAGTTACAACTCGAACAATAAAAAATATACTGGATATAAATAATTAATATTATGGTGTAAAACTTCATAATGAACACAAGAAACCAGTAAGGGTATATGATTTATTTTATGAGTCATGTATTTATGATTGCAATGATAACCAAAATGGTCATGAAAATAATCATTAAACCAAAAGAGGTACTTACATAAAAAATCCAACAACCAAAACAAAAAATATGTGTAAAGTTATATTACAATTAATTTCCTTGAGCTGGACTCTAAATAAATTAATCAATAAAGAAGAATCATACACACAATATGTTAAATATTTTCATCACTACATTAAAACTTTAAAATTGTTACAAAGTGAAATAAAAAGTCACAAAGGTGAATATCTTGTTAGAAAACTAGTCCGAGAAAAACTTGTTCTCCCGACAAAAAAACTTATTAAAGAAAGGGCTTTTGTTAATGGATTTAAGAAAAACCAAACAGAAAACCTGATAAAACTAATGGCAGATGCAAATTTAATCTGGGAAAAAATTACAACTTATGTTTTTGTGCATAACTTGATAATAAATCCAGTTTTCTGTCACAATGGATCGTCAGTCATGTGATGTAAGTAAAGTAATATTGTACCTACTTTAATAAATTTGTTTGGTTAAGAAAATCTTACTATATTTTCAAAAATTAAACTAAAATACAACATAAATCAAATGGTATAACTCTAATCGGGATGAATATTTCTTACATAAAAAAGGTACACCTGTTCTTTGTACAAAATGGACAAATTTCAAGTCGGCTACTCTATGATTTAATTATTTGTTTAAAGGTAACAACTTTTTATGTTATAATTTTGTACCAAATATACCAGGCAGAATAAGGTAAATAACAGTAGTACAGTAAATATAATGTACAATATACTTTATTTATCATATCACATTCTCTTTCAAATGGCACCAGTCTTACCACAATAAGTTACAATCTGTATAAAAGTGTGTAAACATAGGAAAATATTCCTATAAATACGTCAATAACTAAATTAATTTTAAACTAATACAAGGGTACTGATTTATAGTAATAAATATCTGTATAAAAATTCCACATTGTTGAAACGAATTAGGGTTTTTTTTTGCTTAAGACTCTTAAACCGGATAAGAATTTTTGTCACAATTTTAATGATTTTTCTCTAATAAAATCTTAAAATAAGTTACTCATCGCCTCACAGAGGTTAACTAACCCACCTAACGTAGTAGGAACTGTTAGTCTAGTATACCACGAGTCAGAAATACTGTTGGAATTCACACTGATGGAAACTAACCCTTTAAGTGCCGTTGTACAGAATACCTTGTTTTATTCAGACAATAATAATAATGTAACAAAACATAAAATTCTAAGTATAGTTTCTTCAAAGCCTAATATCTAAACGGGGGACTGACTGAGGTTTAATGGGAGAATATTACAAAAACTAACCGTTATCATAGATTTAACACCACAACAGATTTATCATTCTTCATTATTCTTATAGATCAGCTGAAGGCAATTTAATGTCAGTTATGTTCAGAATATGCAGTGCATTATGATGTTTACTTTTTCCTCAGTACTTGATAACCAATTTAGAACCGTTTGAACATCAAATCATGTGTTTGTGAACCATTGTAGCCTACTATGATATTAACACATTCGCTGCGGGCCATCAAATGGCAGGCGTAGCCCCAGTGCTGCGCAGCCCGCAGCGTCGAACAAACCCGATTGCCGGGTATTTGGCTCTCATATTTCGGTATGACGAATAGCAAATAACGTGCGGTGATGTCCTGTTTTATAACAAGAGTCGACGTAGTTCGCTAAACACTCACATATAGCAGCACTGCTTGGAACGTAGCCGGTCCCATCGTATTGCCAATTAGAGGGAGAAAGACAAGTTGATTTTTAAGTTTGCCAGACGGGGATTTTATGGGGAAATTTTACTACCAACCTACAACACAACAAAAAGCAAGTCACCCACTACACGCTAACGTGGAATAGGTCTGCCTTCGACCGACGCTAGAGCAAAAACGATGATATACGGAAGGCATTGCCGAGCGTATCCGATCGGTTACGGCAGCGTCTGAACAGCGCTCGGCCCGTATCCGATCGGATACGCCCGCAGTGAACGTGTTATGATGGAGAAGTAAAGTAAAATTCACCATAAAATAATATTTTAAAATTCAAAATATTAGGTTATTACCAACTGCGATAGGAATCCCATCCATAAGCGTGTTTTAACCCAAATATGAAGGAAGGATGAGTGTAGAATGATGTGAGATGCCTTGTGTAGCTTTGTTACTGTAAGACAGCTTTTTCATTAGTCAGGACCATTTATTAAAATAGCAATAATCAAGGACAGCTGGGTCCATTTTCGGACCATCAAAAAGCTACTGACTTCTCTCAGGATTGAATCGTCGACCATTTTTTACGCAACATCAGCGCTCAAACCGGACGGAAACGCACATCAAAACACGCTTAAGATTTTACAATAGGACCAAAAGTAAACTAGCAGTATTCAGAGTCAATACTTTTATACACTTAATATTGATTGTTTTCGTTTGTCGCAAAGAGGCGTAAAACTACAGGGATGTGCAAGTGGAAATGTTTTGCCTTAACTTCTAGTATGTCAACAACTTTTTTCCATCTCACTTAGTATAATTAATGGAATGAAACTATCAGTAGACCAACTATTTCGCTTTATTTATCCATTAGGCCTAACCATTGTATATTATCCATATTTGTTGTACCCAGATTACTTGTCTGTCAAAGTCCAGTTAAAACAAGGTATTCTGTTTAAGAAAACTTATATTTAAAAAAAACATAAATCATTCTACTTCAATCGGCAACCATATGTTCTGAATGTTACCACATGTAATGCAAATTACTTAGACGATTGTGATTTTAGGCTCAAGCTAAAGCATTTAACTAACATCTGTTTCTAGATTCTATTAAATATATACTATAAACTATGTTAGCTGGAGATGACCAGAAAAGATTTTCCAAATCATTATGAGCTCAATCCCCTGATTACCCTACACAATATTGAGGAAACTTAAATGATAACACTGCTTTCAAAACTATTCATTAGTTAATTACATAAATCCAAAGTAATATACTATTCACAAGGCACTAAAGGGTTATAACTGTAATGATGGAATGATTTTAACATTAACAATTCTCTATCTTAAACATTGACTTTTAACATGTTTTGACACTCAATTTCCATAATTATGTTTGTTTTATTGATAAAAACAGTGTTTGCGAATAATATGATTACTACGTATGATATTTTGCAAGATTTAGGCTTTCATGTTACATCTCAAAACAATACTTTCGGTTTCACACTCATTGATATTTGAAAGGGAAAACTCAAACTGGTAAACTACCTGTTCTACAGCTTTGGGGCGAATATTGAGATCTCCAGTCAAAATCAACGAGTCATAAATATAAAGAAGTCTCACTCACCGTCTAGTCTCAAAATACATTCCAGTCCTGTAAACAAACATATCCGCGTCACATGACTGTTTGTAACACATCAAAGTAATGTTTAAGTGGCAATTTGAAACTGTGGTTCAACTTAGAATCATTATAAAACAGTAATATAGTAAAAGCTCTCCCAGGGATTGTTGGATTTCATAATAGAATACATTTCTTTACTATATTCCAAGTTCACCATGCAGTACGCGTTTTATGGGAGATAAGAGTGCTGTCAATATTACTGGAAACATCATTTTATTGTCAAACAAAACAATGAGAATGTTTGTGGAAATTATTCTCAAGGCCCATGCGAAGACACAATACACATTTTTAACTTATTTCTGTACTTTGTACAAATTGGTTTTTTTCTTTTGCGTGGTAAAAATAGTATTGCAGTAAAAAAGTAGAAAAAAATCTGCGTTTCTCGGGTCCTAGTGTTTTTAGGACCATGGCTAGTGTTTGTGAAACTGCCATTTGAATGGAATGGTAAATTTGTATAGTACCGTAATAAAAAAACACAAGAAAAATTTATGGATAAGGAACGTTTTTAGGATGGATAGTGTCAATGAAACGCTGATTTGAAATACATAGCTTATGTTATGGTAGCTCTGTACTGCACGTGGCAACGTCAAATGGAGCGTAGGTGAAAATAGTTTTATAATATTTCCACCCAGCTACAAAATTAGGCGAAACATCATTCTTGGATGCAATTTACTCCAATAGGTAATTTTCATAGTGAGGTAGTTTTAACTTGATATTTGAATAGTTTTGTGCAAGGAAAGGCTATAGGCCAGGGATTTTAATCTGAAGAACGAAGGGATAGCTGCTGTTGATATTTGAATAGTTGTATTTTAATTTTAAAACGCACTTCAAACCAAAACTCAACTACAAACTCTACAGTAGGCCTACTTACTTTTCTCAGACCTCTTCATATTTTACAGCCAGACATAGGTTCGCCAACCCTCACAGTTTGGTTGGGACACAGGTTGAACTTGTAGTCTCTTGGAGCTTCAAACACCAACACCAACGTAGATCCCATCCTGAACTCTCCCACCTGTTCTCCCTTGCTCCATGAACAGTTCATCTCTACGTCTTTGTGTTTGCCGTCCCTCCATCTGAACGTGTTAGTCTGAAGAGTCTGAAAGAAATAATTAAACGGAATTGAACATATTTTGAGAAAAAAATATCTTTTTTTGGGTTAACTCTGGTTTGGTTGGAGAATCGTCTCATTTGATACAAGCAACAGACTGTTAAAACGAGATAATTCTGTTCTATTACCCTTCTTTATACGAACCTAATAAATACGTCTTCGCTCTTCAACATACTACAGGGTTGATTAAAATAAATTGCAGTGCCTATTACAAGTCAGTTTGCGTTTTTTTTTAGGGGGGGTCGGTTAAAATGCACCATCCTTGGTGACAATAAGACAATACTTTTTAGTGACTTGAACATGAGATAGTTGGGCATACAATATTTTGTGCCGTAACAATTTGAGCTGGTTGCCTGCTCCGAAAATATGTACACTCTCTGATTCTGTAATATGAATTTAATCATTGTCTGCAGCAAAGTGCAAAACAAAAGACAGGTTTGGGTAACTATATTTCAGTTAAGCCCGACTTTTTCGTGTCTTTTGGGACCTTAAAATGAAAATCCGTTACTTTTCAGTGATTTCTGTGATTCTCTAGTAAAATTAGTGACTTTTCCAAAACTTCCATGATTTTTGTGACCCGTAGATACCCTGTAATACGGATAATATAGACTTTTAATGGTAGGAAAATATACTTAAAATATGTAACAGGAGATCAATTATTGACGAGTCACACCAGACATCATCATGCCCAACCGAGGATTTGGAGAATCAAAGTTACATCCTCAAAATAATACTACTGGATATTTCACCGGATATTTCAGAAATGGAAATTCCAGTGGGTTCTAGTAGTATTGAAGTACACCTGTTCTTTTATTAGTTTATCTTTACATCTTTCTGCACAAATATTGAAGTAGGCCAAGTCCCTCTTTGATGAAGCTTCTATTTTGTTTTAAGGTGATTCTAACACTCACCTTGTCAGTGTAGACTTTGACGGAGCCGACGCTCGTAGCTCCCACCGCAGTCATGCTGAAGAAGCCGTGTTTCCATTGTCCAACGTAGACGACTCTCTCGTTCAGACTGTACAGCCCAGGCAACCAGCCAGCGATTAGCGGATTTACACTCATCAACTCTCCTGAAATAACAACAAATCATTATTCTGCTTGTAAAACTTACGTGAAGCCAAGCTGGTCTGGTGGAGCGCAGAAATTCTTCTGAATTTTTGTTTAAACTCACTTTATTTTTTATAATTATTGGTTACACGAGTACAGTTTGCTTAGGATAAATTTAAATATGTTTTGATTAAACCATTTAGTCCAGGACCTGACTAGGGTTCTGTGTGCATGTCGTGTATAGAGAATTTTGCTTTTGCATTTCAATATAGGTGTCTTAGGAAGTGTTTTCCACTCGGGTGTCAAGTTCGCACCTGGTACGTTTTCGAGCTATGACGTCATCAAAATGGCGGCCATTGATTTTTTTAAATCGTATATTTCGCAAACTACTTGTCGGATCGGAATGAATTTTTTTTGTTTGAAAGATAATTTTAAATGCTACCTGTTTTACATTTACACATTTGTTGTATGTTTAGTACATTCTTCGTAATTTTGCAAAAACCTGTATTTTTAAATATTTTTGAGTTATTTTTGTTTGTAACGTTTTATTGATACAATTTATCAAAAACCACCGATGAAAAAAGTTGTAGAACGTTTAAAAATCTTTACAAAAATACCAAATTCGATATGTTTTACTCAAAATATTACGTCAAGAAACTAGATAAATCTCATAAAAACACCAATTTTGGCGCAAAAACGCGTATTAGTCCGGCATCTAGGGCAGTTCGCAAGTCTTATAAAGACAGTTTCACCATTCAATGTTGATGTATGTGTCTAAATAAGTGTTTTCAACTCAGGTGTCACGTCTGCACCCACTGCAGTTTCCGGTTATGACGTCATTAAAATGGCGGATAGGGCTATATTAAAAATAACTATATATTACATACCATGTGTCGGATCGGAATGAACTTTTTTTTGTTTGAAAGATAAGTTTACATGCTATCTTTCTTACGTGTGCACTTTTGTTTTATGTTTAGTACATTTTTCGTAATTTTGCAAAAACCTATATTTTTAAACATTTTTGTGTTATTTTTGTCGATAACGTTTTATTGATACAATATATCACACATTGTTAACATTGTTTGAGTTGTTAATTTAATGTTAATTTAATGGATTAATTGAAAATCAATCCAGGCAAATGGAAATTCGCTTAGTCGACAGGATTGCTGCACCGGGGGTATTTATATAGTGGAAACATTCCTATGGACTAATTACATTGATGTGTTGTGCTTTTATTTGCATAAAAGAGGGTAATGGTCTTATTTTAAGTAAAATAGCTGGTGAAATCGTAACATGTAGCAATTTTAAAGACATCATAACCGGAAACTGCAGTGGGTCCAGACGTGACACCCGAGTTAAAAACACTTCTTTAGACACATACATCAACATTGAATGGTAAAACTGTCTATATATGACTCGTACACAGCCATCGATGTCGGATTTATATGCGTTTTTGCGCAAAATTAGATTGTTTTGTACGATTTTCTAGTTTTTTGACGTGATCTTTTGAGTAAAGCATATCGAATTTGGTATTTTTGTAAAGCTCTTTTAACGTGCTACAACTTTGTCTTTAAGTTATTTCTGATATATTGTATCAATAAAACGTTATCGACAAAAAAAACACAAAAATGTTTAAAAATATAGGTTTTTGCAAAATTACGAAAAATGTACTAAACATAAAACAAAAGTGCACACGTAAGAAAGATAGCATGTAAACTTATCTTTCAAACAAAAAAAAGTTCATTCCGATCCGATACATGGTATGTAGGCTAATATATAGTTATTTTTAATATAGCCCTATCCGCCATTTTAATGACGTCATAACCGGAAACTGCAGTGGGTGCAGACGTGACACCCGAGTTGAAAACACTTATTTAGACACATACATCAACATTGAATGGTGAAACTGTCTTTATAAGACTTGCGAACTGCCCTAGATGCCGGACTAATACGCGTTTTTGCGCCAAAATTGGTGTTTTTATGAGATTTATCTAGTTTCTTGACGTAATATTTTGAGTAAAACATATCGAATTTGGTATTTTTGTAAAGATTTTTAAACGTTCTACAACTTTTTTCATCGGTGGTTTTTGATAAATTGTATCAATAAAACGTTACAAACAAAAATAACTCAAAAATATTTAAAAATACAGGTTTTTGCAAAATTACGAAGAATGTACTAAACATCAACAAATGTGTAAATGTAATACAGGTAGCATTTAAAATTATCTTTCAAACAAAAAAAAATTCATTCCGATCCGACAAATAGTTTGCGAAATATACGATTTAAAAAAATCAATGGCCGCCATTTTGATGACGTCATAGCTCGAAAACGTACCAGGTGCGATCTTGACACCCGAGTGGAAAACACTTCCTAAGACACCTATATTGAAATGCAAAAGCAAAATTCTCTATACACGACATGCACACAGAACCCTAGTCAGGTCCTGGACTAATTGAACAAAGAGTTAAATTAGCCAATCTTTGAAGTTCCCACAAATTATGAATTAAAAAATCTGCCTACTTCTCAATCAGTACGGCAAATCATTCAAAGATGTAAAAGTAAGTAAAAAATCGTTTGTAGACAACAAATAAGAATTTTCATGGGATATTAAAAAAATATATAATAATTAAGATAGAGAAAAACTAAGGTCATTAAACTATTTGAATCTTAATTCATCTGAGGTTATCTTCAGTCTACCACAGGCTACGCTTGATCAAGGGAGGATGGATAATTTGTGTAGGAAATAAGCTACACTACGGAAAAAAAGAAAATGGATATTATTGTGCTGTAAACAAGTCTACCAACATTTATTTTATTAGCATTGAGGACAATATTTTTGTCAAGTGTTCCAATCTCTTTTCAAAACCCCAGCAAGACAGTCCCATAATAACAAAATCAGATTTCAAAGTAGTCCTTCAAACAGTTGAAATTATTATTACTTCTATAACAATATGTATTTAGGCTAAAAGATTACAATGTGTGCATCATAACAAAAACAAACACGACCTTACCCTAATGGATAAATAATAACCAAGTTATTGACATCTTCAAAAATTTCTCTAAACCAACAATCGAAAGGGTCCATAGAGTATTAACCTAAACCAAAAGGTTATCTTTTCACACACGAGATAATCAGCCTCAGTGGCACCACTAGGCAAAGTAACAAAATTAGCAGTTTTTGATAACCTTTAAACCTTCCTCATTCAATGTAACTTGAGTAAAAAATGACTGAGAAAAGTCAATTAGTTTTGAAGCATGGATGAATGAACGGTTGTTTATTCTTTCATCACTCAAAAATTGATCGATTATCTCAAATAGGCCTAATTAAAAACGTGATTCAAAATAAAGTGATCAATAAGTAATGTTGCATAAGAAGAAGAATAAGAAGTTGTTCAACAATTTTTAAAACAAGTGACGGGTAAAATATGCCAAAATCCTTGTACTCTTAACCTAGTTTTAAACATTATCATTTAAATGTTTTGACTAAGTACTATGTAATACAGAAAAAATCTTTGCCAGAATGTTAAGACAAAGATGGAATCATCAAATGTTATAAGTCAGGGGCTTCGGTAAGGAAATAACTGGATATAATTGTAGCAACATTTAGTTCTCTTTTAATTCAAATACCGGTACGCAATAGGCTAAATCTTGCGAGTAAGTATTTTTAGGGGTGCAACAAATTTTGTCTTCAAGATTATTATCACAAATAAAAATTATTAATCTTACAAAATAAGTCAATTTATATCATAAAGCCTTGATAAATGATTTACAATGTTAAAAGCTAAATGAAAAAATGAGGAAAGTGAATTGATCATATTTGAAAATTCAATCGTTTAGGAAAATCTATCCCGGGCTTCATGGGGAAAGAGATTGTAGCTCAAAATATTACTCATTAAGATCCAGTAGTTCATGAATTTAAATGTTGAAAATGTATTGAATATACTTAGCATTTTTATGAAGAAAGAATGAATAGAGTCCAAAATGATTGCGATGAAAAGGAATTCTGTAGGAAGGAGACTAGGAGCAAAACTATGAAAAATATTTGGATTGATTGAAGGCATATTTGGAGAGTTTAAGAACAACTGAGGAAAATATGAGAGGTTAAGAAAGAGATTTTGTTAGTGCGGTAAAATATTTACATTGAGAACAGCTTTGTGGTTAAGTGTTCAAACACATCCATGTGTATATTATGGCTTTTCCCACACTAGCTTGGAGGTTTCAGACCAGGCCCGGTCTGGCCAGGGCGGCTAGTCGGCGATCCCCGAGGGCCTCCAGCTCAAGGGGGCCTCCAAAAGCCAAAAAATCAATTCAAAAAATTTAGTTATAATAAAAAAATATTTTGTTTAACTGTTTCACAGCAACGTAGTCTTGCAAAAACAATTTTAAATAAACAATACTCTTTTTTTTTAATTGAATTACAGTAAGGGGTAGCCCCTAAGTACAGTGATAGTCAATCGGTACTAGAGGATAGTCACTGATCTCACTGCAATGCACCGTTCGAATCAGCTCAGTGCCCAGCGCTCCGCGGTAGTGACGAGACATTGCTGTGCCGGCGCGTCTGCGATATGTCTGGTGTCTGGACTCAAGCAGACAGCTTAGCGCTTGTACTAGTATAGTCATGGGACAACCGACTGGAAAAAACTATCGACTAGTCAATTTGTCAATCAGTTGTTTTTAAAACCAGTTGTTTTTTTTCAGTCGAATGAAAAACCGAGAGAATTCCACTACAACAACAACTGGTGGCGTTCAATCGGTGCAGTGGTTTCAGTAATTGCAAAGAAAATTATCGAATATAATTTTACTTTAAACATTAAAGGTTTGCTGCTTGATTCCTATTGTTTGTTGTCAATTTGCATTAATATTTTGTTACTTTGGTATAAAACGTAATAGAATGACAACATTCACAATTAATTAAACATTTTTAGTTATTACATGACTGCAAGATTTAAATTATTCAGTAGGCCTAATGTCTCTAACTCAGTATAACAAATATTCCTATTTGTTTGTTACCTGGTTTTTAAAACAGATTTTACTACAGGCATTAAAATCTAAATCATCTAAATATATAAAAGGCAAAGCCCTCACTGACTGACTCACTCACTCACTCACTCACTCATCACTAATTCTCCCACTTCCCATTTACCTAGGATGCTGAAATTCGGTACACCAATTCTTTAAGCATTAAATAGGAAAACTAAGTAGTTTTTATTCTGATCGGGCTTTCGGGCTCCGCCAAGTGGCTCTGGAGTTTCCCATGTTAACCTTATGATTTTTCATATTTAAAAGGAATTTCACAACAGCTGTTTCAATTAAACAAGTTGGTTCTGTTCTATGATGTGCAATAACATTAAAGTTACAAGGATTACCAACAAGGTGCAGCACTATTATTTTTTTTTAATTTATGACTACAGCCAATTTGCAACCAAAAGGTGGGTGAGCGTAGCGAACGAACTTCGACCTGGAAGCGAGTTAGCGTAGCAAACGAGCTAACCTGAAGGCAAGTGAGCTGAGAGAACAAGCTCCAACCTAAAGGTGAGTGAGCGTAGCGAACGAACTTAAACCAGGACGTGATTGAGCCTTGCGAACGAGCTCACTTGTGAAGTTAAACGGGGCAAAGCCCGCGGGTACAGCTAGTCAGTATATAAAACACAGTGTCTTGGCAATTTTATATTTTTTTAAACAACAAAAATAAATGCAATTACATTTTATGTATCATCCCTAAAAACTGTTCCCAATTCCTGTCCGTCAGTTTATCTACAACTGATTTTATTCGACCAGTCAGCCTCATCTCAACACCAAAAGGTCGAGTATGGTGTTACGACTATAGTTTAATCACCGACGACTGTTTCCAGTCATCCCTACGTAGTTGGTTATGACATATTGTTTGAAAAATTACTAACACGTGAATTGTTCAGTTTATAAAATGAAACGTGTGCACCCAAGTGGCGCAAGTAAAATAAAAACGGAAAGGAAATATTTCAAAATAAAAACAAATTAAATTCAAACTGTTTGAACTTATGGTTAGCAGGTTAGCTGGTTTCAGTTCCGATTCTGCTAACAATGAGAAGTCGCAAACAGGCAGGCGGAAATCATCAGAAGTTTTTTGTAAGCCTTACAACGTTTAAATTAAAATACTTTTGATTATTTCTGTTTGTCTTTGTTGCTGAAGTACAACTATGGAGTAAAGTGTGTGATAAACAAACAGTAAATGTGGTCCATTCATAGATGTATTCAAAATTCAAAAGTGGTACATGATATGCTTTTTTACCATGTATGGCAAAAACTCTAAGAACTAGGTTTTGGTCTTATTTTTAAATTGAAGACTTAAGACAATTTTAAGAATAGGCCTTTAAATTTTATGGCAGCTGTAAAGGTGAATAGAAATACGAGCAAATTTTATAACAAATTTAAATTGATTGATACCTCGGAATTAAATTTATAAATACAAAGATTTTAATTTATGGAAATTTAGCAATTATTAATTTAATCAAAATTATCAAAAACTTTTAATCATTTAAAACCACATTAGGCCCCTTTTATGAACCTGCGGCATGCAGCAAACATATATGCTAACTAATTGTTGCCGTGAGAGCACCCCATGGTCCTTGTTTTATTTCTGACTGGGGGCCTCAAATCACCATCTAGCCGAGGGCCTCCAATGGAGCCAGACCGGGCCTGTTTCAGACTGATTATATAGTTAATTTCATTGGTATTATTTGTCAATCTATATGTGGAAAAAAATAAAAGAATAAAAAATATTGGGAAGTTTATGTTAGATAGGGTTATTAGTTAAATGTACATAGGCTAAATGGTCTTTTTAAAACAAGAGGAGTTTCCTTATCTCCCAAAATGTAATGTGTAGTCAAATCAGTTAGCATATAAAATTAAAATAATCATCAATCGCGATGAAGTTTAAAAATATAAGAGCAAGTTATAAACTAATCAACATATTCAAAGTAGTTTACCTTGAAAATGCCTCCTGAAGTTGACTTTCCAGTTGACTGGAGAATGGAACCGATGATAATCTCCGGGCGCTAGGTACACGACCGCTTGATACAGAACATTGTCAGGGTTTGATAAAAGTTGTGATTTATAATCATCCCACACATCCTTGATACATTCTTCTTGCTCTTGCTGGGCTTTGAACAGATACTTCACCACATCCACTCCCCCCCAAAACGTTTCGGGAATAATATAATTATCAACGTTGATTTTACTTTTGACGAGTTCATTGTCGTTCTCGTCAGTCCTGGCTAGATGGGTCGCTTCTGTGAATTTGGTATTCGAGCGGTTGATACTTCGTGTTGAGTTAGCAGTCTTCCAAGTAGGTGGGCCGAGAAAAGTTTGAAGGTTGTATGTTACTCCTTTGACTTGTTCGACGTGGCAAGAAGTTATTCTGCCACTGTTGAGGACTTTGCCATCAGCTGGAGACACCTGGAAATGTTAAACACAACAGTTAGGTACTTTATAATAGAATAACCTTAGAAACTGAATTCACGGTAAAGGTTGACGATTCAGAAATAAATGTGCAGAAATTAAGTACTGTAGGCAATTCAATAATTTATTAAATTCAACCCTGAAATAATAAGTAGATTGACAGGTGCATCACACACACAAAAACTCTTCTTCTTTTAAATTTTGTCCAACTTGTTTCTATTTAAATTGTATAAGCATACAACCCGATCAAGCAAATGATGTACAATAACCCACAAAATCTATCGGCTGTACCTCATTCAATCCTACAAGAAAATCATTTTGCTGGAAAAGACATTGTAGGCCTATCAAACCAAGTACCAGTACAGTACTGTACATATTGAGAATGAAACATAGAGCACAAGGAAGGGCCTAGGTTATTAGGATTTCAACAAAAGAAATCAACTTTCTCCTAAACACATAGCTTCTTTAGTTGAAATGCTGTCGGTGATAGTGAAATATTTTAATGTTTTGTGTTTAGTGTAGGTCTAATGTTTGTGTGTAGAGTGAAGTTTTGTGTTTCTGGTGCCAGTTAGGACTCTTTCCCATTCAGGTAAGCCTGCTATCCTCTAGAAAAACCTAAAGTACATATCTTAGTATTAACTATTTTATAAAAAGCAGGAGGGCTACGCAGAGTATCTCTCCTGTAGTAAAAGCTTTTACCCCAATGTCTCGATATCTGCTGTTATTTTTTTTATTAAAAGGTTTGAACAACAATCTAGTATTTCCGAATCATCAACAATGTACATTTTAATTTCAGATTTGATGGAGTTTTAAAATAAATAATACAAAAATTGATTTAGACTTACAATGCAGTCAACAGGGTCAATAGGTCTTGTTCCGTCTTTCAGTTGACGAGTGAAGAACTGTCCAAGGCTCGGATAGTCTGAGAGATCTCCTGCCATCTCGTCAAGGTTAACGCCGTACATGGACGAGTAGAGGCCGTAAACGTAGGAGCGCAGTGTCAGCGGAACATGACAGTTACACAACCAACCCCACGTACGAGACCACAGACGCAACGGTAGAGATCGGTAACAGGTAATCTGTGACAGGTTGGTTATTACTTACTATTTCATAGTCTATCTTGTGTGTAATACTTTTATTTATTTGTTAACGGAAACTGACTAACATGATTCTATCTTTTCAGGTAGCAAAATAGTATTGTGAAGGACACGAAACAAGAATAAAGAAGGTTTAATGATTCTGCAAGAAGACCAAACAAACTATGTGGATAGCTTTGGATATTAACAGATTTCACAACTCTGTCCCATGAACACCTTTATTGTCTGGGTAGCTGAGTGGTTACAGTGTTCACTTTCAAATCTGAAGGTAGCTGGTTTGAACCAGAGGAGGATTGTTCCTTGATACAGCTGAGATATTTTTAACCAGTTTCAAACATTTTATCTGGCCCATATAGAAAAGGCCTTCTTAAAATAATACTAGCCTAGTTAGATGTCACCCAAAAGGACATTTAAGAGCCAAAGGTGAACTTAAACAATGTTCTTCTAAGTTGTCTAAGTTATGATTTTAATTGGTGCTTTGTTTCAGCTGAAAGAAGAGTGAAACTGGATTCCAATTTTATGTGTTTGAATTTCATTAACAAATTAAGCACATGGAAAAGCTAACATGACAAACAATAAACGGAGAGTCTAGAAGGAAAGACTTGAGACAGATTAAGATTATGGAAGAGTAGAGGTCCATTTTCCAAGCTCTTTGAGATTACAGATTATAATAAGAGAAAATCAACCTTGGTACAAACACGAGGGACTTCTTACCTGAAATTCCTTGACGAGAGGTTCTGGGTACTCGTTATCTCTCTGTAGTCTGCGCCATTGTAGCACGGCCAGCACCGAGACTCCGACGCCGGTGGAGATCGGGACCCAACTGTGCCAAAATCTGCGCCATCTCCTGTGGACTAGCTTGGTGTTCTGCCCATGTTCTGCGGCAAAAGAAGGAATCACTTAGTTGTTTGCTTCACCTTACATCCTAGTACTTAGGAACGAAGCGGAAGCTGGTTTAAATGTCAAGACAACATTTGTCATCATTACAAATTATGGAAAAGTAGAGCAATGAAAAAATCAAACTTGTTATCTGTATATTTAGAACTTTTTAGTATCCCGGACGGCAACGTGTGATAGGCTATACTTAAAATATGCCCTTCATTGTACTAACTTAGCTACAGTACCGATAAACATAGTAAAACTTGAAAAAAAGGTTGAAAAATCAAGTCTGACTGTGTACGTTTTAATCACTAAGAATTTTAATTGTAACAAAAAGAAACTGTAGGCCTAATATAGGGATCACAGGGACACAGGGGGGATACAAAGGTAATGTAGGGGGGGGGGGGGGACAGGGGTCACAATCACTAATATGAAATAAACCAATTATTTTTCAAGCTAAATTTTTTCAAGGAAATGTATGGTAGGTAAAGAATATTAATAAAAAACTTTCTAAACTATTATGATGGTTCTTAATAATTATTTATCTCACTCTGGGTAGCTTAAATCTTAAAAATTACTTGGATTTGTTTAAACTTATTATAAATATTTCTAGCCAATTAGTATCCTCTTTACAAACCATGTTCGGATAAGCCTAGTAAAACCAATAGAACAAAACTAATGTTAAACTTACCAAAATAAAGAGCAATTAGTAATTTCCTACTTAGGCTTACTGAACTCCCATCTAAATTATCAAGACTGAAGTTAAAACTCCCCATAGACTGACTAAAGATCCTATAAAATAATAATCTTACAACAACATTTTCAATGGGAACTAACAGGTCAGGTTAAAAATGAAAACTGTTTAGAGTCTTATCACTCATTGATGTCTACACTTATCATTTTATAAATTGGTATAGAAGATAAAGAAAATAGATTATCACTTTTAGCTTTGTTAAGAACTGAGGGAGAATCATTTCAGTTAGTAAATTAAAAAATTATTATTAAACTGTTTTAAATTGAAGAATCTAGCCATCTTAAATCCAAACTGTCAAAATATTTAAAAATAAATTTAGAAGAAATAACTTGTATTAAGAAATAGCCTAACTAATACTGATTAAGTTTACAATATTTTTGAAATTTGCCTACTGCACTTATTTAAAACTATCTGTCACCCACGGGCTTCACCACGGTGACTTCATAAGTATTAATAAAACTATTGTTTGGTTAAGTTAAGCTGAAATAAACAAAACAGAATACAGTTATATACAAACAAATAATCACACCTGATAAATAGATTGGAAGGATAACATACAAATAAGTACAGCTGAGGTATTTTTAACATTAGGTATATGGAAAGTTCCCATTAGAAAGGAATTACGACCTTAAAGGGCAATTTATGAAATAATGGATAGTTTTGCGTAAGGTTTCTCGTCATGACGAACATTTTAAGTATATGGTTTATGGGGGTGTGACTGAACAAATTTGATTTACTAGTTAAATTTTACACATAAGTGGTAAGATATTTTATTATTAGATTGAGCATTGTTCTTGTTTGGCCTATATCATGGCCCCCACAAGGGTGGGGCTGGTGCAACACTGGCCACAGGGTCTAGTTATGTTTAATTTTTGTTTATGTATTGAAGAATATTTTACAGCAGATCATAGAATTAAAATTAAAATACTTAGCCTAAATATAGTTACAGTAGAACCTCTTTTATCCGAACCCCCGTAATCCGAACGTCCACTAATCCGAACGCCTCATTGAACTGTACCCTATACACAGTACAGTAGTTATTTATTGTATACTTTTGCACCGTAATTGTTTCTACTGTAATGTACAGTACTGTATTCACTATGTTTCCTACTGTATTAAATAAACATTGGCCTACACTGTTTACACAGCGCCAATTGTCACGACAACTAGGTTTTCGAAGGGTGGGGGGCCTCACTGGGCCCGGCTCATTGTCCTCAGCCTACTTCCGGAGACAACTCAATATCAGGGCAGTCGGCAAGGCAATTAGCCTGAAGTGTTTACACAAAGCTAATAATTTCATGCTAGCCAGTTGTCTTCTGACAATTGTCTCACCAACTGGCATCGTGTAAACCCGGCTTTAGACCATCATACATCAAAGTAAGGTTTTTGTAATCTATGGTAGTATCATGAAGGCTACATTATCAATGACAAAGGTAAACATGGACAACCTAATGTGGCTATGAGTGGGAAACATTTGTAGAAAACGCTAAAAAAACAAGTTCAGCTTTTGAAAAATGATACAATATTTACAAAAAAATTTTGATTATATGGAACTGTTATGTACATTGTGAGTATTTCCATTAGTTTCATAATCTTTAAGTTGACTCTTTTACTAATCGGACATTATTACTGTTATTCGCTATTAAATTACTCCTGACAAATACGGTACTTTGCAATTGCTCGATTTTGAGGAACATAAAATACACTAGTCAGAGTATTAAACATGCCAAAAACATTTTAATTGGTTAGCTCCCAAGTTAGTCATAATCTTATTATTATTTTTATAAATAGAATTTTATTTCTGGTCAGTACAAGAAATCAAACAAAAAATTGAAATTTACTTTCAGTTTGGATTGCAAGAATAAGGTAGGCTATTTAAACCACTACCTATCACTAGTTCTTTCAGTAGCTTAAAATAAAAGTAACTTAGATGATTTGCTTTTTAGCAAATAAGTTACAGGTTTTTTTATTGATTTGATTGTCTCAATTAAGTATTCCTTACTTTTACCGACATTGACAAATTCTGTAAATGGTGGAAAAATTGCCAATTACGGTACCATAACATACTACGCGAACATAGTGGAAGAGATCCCGAGCTCAATTCTGGTTACAGGGCCCACGATCGAATGTGGGGGCCATGGCCAATACAAAGGGCGTAAGTTGGGGTATTTAAAAATAAATCTAGCCTAGTTAGATGTCACCAAACAAAACTTTTAAGAGCCAAAGATGAAATTAAACCCATACGATGACATAACAATTTCACTTAAACAGCAAACTAAATATAATATTTAGCCTAAAAGAATTTAAATCAGTACCAGTAATTGAAACAAAAATATAAAATAATGAAATTGATATCATTTATTAAATGATCCTGTTAATGCCAGCATTAAAATGCAAATAAGTTTTGGCCTCAAAAAAAAGATTATAACGCTTAGCCTAACTTACCAGTAACGAGGAGTTTTAGGTTTGAGGGATGGCAAAGTGATGCCTAAGGAATTTGTACATTTGGTCCATGTTATTACCACTACCACCAAAAAAATGTTTTAAGTTACAACAGAAGCAATTTTAGTACACCATATTATGGCCTCATAGAGTGTAAGTTAGGGGCAATAATCTTGAGGTAGGCCTAATAGTAAAATTTAAACAATTAGGGAAAAAGAAGAAAAAACTAAAAAAAAAGAGTAAGATTTGATTATTTACCTTTACTCCAACAAAGGTTTGGGATCCTTCTTGAATAGAAGGAAATAAACAGAGTAAAAATTGGGCTGATCACCAACACTACTTCCAACATCATTCTGTGACCACAGAGAACACGAAAAAGAACAATCAAGACGTTATCAACCCAACTCCTCAGCTCCAAAAAAGCTGATAAGAAGCTGGGGCGATAACCTCTTCCTTCAGATTTTTCATTGACACTGCAAAGTAATAAAGCCTAATCAACTAATTTAATTTTCAACTAGAGGATTGTATGTCTTCTAACCTCAAAAGTAACTAACCTTGGTGCAAACTCCGGAGGCACAGATTATATGGCCTTATAAGTGACGAACGATAACACTGAAGGACAAACAATGTAGCAAATTTAGTCATTTCAAACATTTAATTTTGAACTACAGTATTCACAATTTTATCTTAAATAAACATCATTTGTTAGATGATGGGGTCGGTTGGCTAGTGACAGTTACTGTAATCGGTCGGTAACGTGAACAGCTGAACAGCTGAACCGATGAGATCGAGATGGTGTTCTTTTCTCTGATTTTTCCGCATATAACGTCGTTAGCTTAGCAGCCATGAAGCCTTAACGGTTCACGTTGATGTAAGGGTTCAAGGATCATTGATTATAATATGTTTCTAACTAAACTCTATGATTTGTAGCGATAGAGTTCTCGTTTCTTTGTAAGAATACAATTTTACAAAAGGTCAAATCTGGTTATTAAAGTAACCTACATAACTTACATAACTATGGGTTCGGCCCCATGGTGTAGTTTGTGCTTTCTGTAGGTTTTGTTTGGCTTTGTTCCTTTGACTTTTTTGATTAAATTATTTTGAGTTTGGGCTTATATTAAGTAGACTTCTCATCCCATTATAAATTATGGAGCTCGTTTTAGTATCTAGTTAGTAGAGGCAATAGGGCAAAGAGCCATCACTTTAGGCACGTTTTCCCCATAAGAATAACATGGGGATCATTTTTTGGCCACCAAAACCAAAAACTCTGATCTTTGCCTAAATATCCCTATATAATTGTCGAACCTTATTTCTTACTTATTCCCCATAAATATATTTGATATTAAGCTAAAAAAGCTATTTCTTATATTTATTGACCCTTACAAGTGTAAATTTAGAGTAGTGGTGAACCCAGAATATGACCCCACTTTCGGCGTTTTAGAGGCACTTTTAGAGCACTTTTTATAGGGGAAAAATGAGAAAAAAATGGAAGAGTTTTTTTTGGCCACTTTTTTTAAAGACCCAGCTCTCGACCTATACACCCCTATATAAATTGTCTACTTTTTTAATACTAAAAATCACGTCTGGAAATGGTGAGCTTTTTTTGGCCACTTTTTTAAAGACCTGGATCTTGTCCAATACAAGCCTATATAAATGTTCAATACCATTGTACAACTCCATTAAAATTTCAAATCCACATCCATTCCCATGTATATTTTCAAAATCATGTGAGGTTTGTGCGTGAACTCGGGCATGCTCCCGGCTCATGATGTGCTCCCTTGGACATCCTTAGTGGAAATCCATGAGTTCTGGCTACTTGGGAACCCAAGCCATTTGACATACAACGAATCACCCTTTCTCCTAATTACCTTCTCTACCAAATACATGTCCTTATACTTGGTCTTTAACAACTCCTCTGTATAGAAGCCTCCCCTGATTATATTGCCATTTTCATCTTTCAAGATATAAGTCACAGGCTTTGTATTCTTAACTTCTGCTATTGTAAATAGTTCCCCTGTCCAATTTGGAGTATAACCTTTACTAAAAACATGTTTATACTTGGAAATCCTTACGCTATCACCTACCTTATATCTTGGCTTTTTAACTTGCACTACTTTAGAAGTCAACCTCTCATGCACATATTTACTATTCTTAACATTCACTTGGTTAGGCTTCATTCCTATAGATCTATGCACTTTATTATTATATTTTTGAATTAACTTTGGAAGTAAACCCAACCATTTATAACTCCCCTGAGCACTAAATTCTCTATATAACCAATTCTTTAAAGTTCTCTGAAACCTCTCCACAATTGCAGCCTTAGTTGTAGAAAATGTGTGATAGTGATTAATATTTAATTTTTTCATTAGTTTGCTAAAATATTGATTAAAAAATTCTTTTCCATTGTCAGATTGAATGTTTTTAACCCCCTTTGGTAGAATGGTTTTAATGGCTTCTGTAACCACTAACCCTGTCTTATTCTTTAGTGGAGCAGCATAAGCTTTTTTAGAAAATGTATCTATTAAAGTTAAAATATATTTATTGCCAGAATTTTCTCTAGCATAGTTTTGCATATCAACTAAATCTATTTGTATGGTTTCGTTTATACCCAATACTTTAAAAGACCTTCTAATGAAATTCTTTCTTGCAGGCTTATGAAGCTCGTATGCAATTTCATTCATTTTTTATAACATCATCCTTTCCTGTAACTCTAAATACATCACCATTAGCCCCAATCAATAGATTATCTTCCATTCTTTTAAATACATAGTTTTCTGGTATATATGGTCTATTATCTATATACTTAAATCCACTCAAAGATGTGGGGTCAGCAACTAATAAATCAGGATTATATTCCATCAAATTAAAATTTTTTTCTCCATATACAAATTTTGATCCATCGTAATGCATAGATTGTGACATTAGACAAATATCATCCAAATGTTCCCCCTCTGGTAGATTTCTTATAAATTGTTTTTTGGCATCCCAACATTTTTCTTTTTTATCAAAAGTTATAGTCTGTTCTTTTATAACACAGTCAGTGTCATCAATGGCAGGTTTAACACGTACTAACCTTTTACTATTAAAACTCCAATAGCCTGCTTCCATTTTTGGAACTTGTGAAACATTCACAGCATCTTTACTATCTGTACCTTCCATCAAATTACTAATTTTCTGTTTCTTTGCATTCCAAACACCATTCTCTGATTCTAAAAATTCATAATTATTATCGTCTTGTACAAATTTACCATCTTCTTTTCGTATTAAAGTCTGTTGTAAAGTGGGCACATCATCTAAACTTTCACCCTTTTCTACATTAGTAATTTTCCGTTTCTTAGCATTCCAAATACCATTCTCTGATTCTAAAAATTCATAATTATTATTGTCTTGTACAAATGTACCACCATCTGTTCGTATTAAAGTCTGTTGTAAAGTGGGCACATCATCTAAACTTTCACCCTTTTCCACATTAGTAATTTTCTGTTTTTTAGCATTCCAATTTTTATTCTTAGATTCTAAAAACTCATATTTAGTTCTACCTTGTAAGAAGACATCACCTTTTCTAGTTAATGTCTGTCCCAAATTTGATACATCATCTACAAACTCCCCATCTTTAACGTTACCAATTTTACGGTTTAAACCATTCCAACTATCGTCTTGTAAATTTAAAGTAGGTTCACTACTAGCCCTGGGTTCTGCAGGCTTATTATATGGATTATATAAACGATAAAATTTATCTATAAACATATTTTTATTTAGTAAATAATTCCACTTTCTCTCAATTCCTCAATAATGGAATCTATTTCATTATCCACTCCTGAGTTACCGGCTTGGCGACTTAGCCAAAGAAGTCTTAACCTATCTACAAGCTCATTAGGATCATCCCAATAAATATAGTCTATTTTATTACCAGTCACTTGTCTCAAACCTTCACCAACAGACTTAAATAGAGGTTTAATTATATTAAGATATTTAGTATGTCTATTACTTGAAATTGGTGCACCATCTTTGTAACTCTTTAAATGTCCATTTGTAGCTTCCAAAATTTCTTTATAATTTTGCAAATCAGCCGGAGTATAATCCTCAGGTTCTTTTAAAGTTAACAATTGCCACAAACCTTTTGTCCCCTTGTAGGTTTTATTTGCAATTGTAACATCATCATTGGCAATGTCAACTTCCTTATTTCCAATAAAAAATGTATTTGCTTCTCGTCTAATACCATATGTAGTGTCTGTCATACTACTTTTACTGAGGTAATTTCCTAAATAGTCTGATGCTAAAAGACCAAAATCTAATTTCTGTGGGGTGGATTGCTGTAATGGTTGTAATCTTGGTATTATTGGTATTCTAGATGGAGTCATTGGGAGAATCTCCATTCGAGGCCTCTCTGTTTTGGCGATTTTTTTTAATTCTTGTAATGGCTCTATTAAAGGTTGGAATGTTTGAAACCTCTCTTCAGCCTCTAGAAACTTGCCACGTTTTAAAGCTCTATATTTCTCTCGTATTTGATTTGCAGAGTCAACCAATTCTTGTTGAATGTTTTTCATCTTTTATTTACATTTTATTTATCTCATTTGACAAAGGATTGTACTCAAACACTTTATCATGTATTATTAAACAATATGCAGATGTATTTGCTGGTACATTTTCTGCAGTTTCAATCTCTAATTTAATATCAACAATTCCTTCCTTCACTGTTTCGTTCTGTCTAGAACAGTCTATTACAATTAGTGGATATTTCTTCATAAACTCAGCCCTACTAATCATAGGATCTGGGATAGTATTATAGTAAGTCTCTCTAAACCTCATAAACATCTCATAAGCTTTAGAGACATCTCCATTTTCAAAGTCGAGATTTAAATCACTATAAGGATAATATTCAGAGTTTAGAAATACTTTGAGATTTTTTAACTTACAGTGATCAAATTCATCAGTTCTTTTTCGTGCACTATTATCTCTAGCTGTTTGGAAACCAAATATAATATACCTAGGCTTCTCCAAACTTGAAGACGTCTTTACTGACCATGTATGTCTTGTAGTATTGGGATATGATGGAAGTTCATGCAACTCTAAGCTTCTAAATGCAATTTGCAAATTTTTATTTTGCAATAACATCTTTTGTAATTGTAACTTCTCCCCATCTGATGGTATTACATGTGGCATCACCCATTGAATTGAGTTAAGTATAATTTTGGGAATTGCATCAGCAGTACCACTGGCTGGAGCACTAGTGGTTGTTAATATACAATTCAAATCATTTTTGGATCTTTTCAACACCAATTCTTGTTTGACATTTACTAATACCTTATTAAAATCCTCAAATACACCCATTAACAGTTCTAATGGCAAACAAGTACTAAACTTGCCACTTTTATGGAACTCTTTTAAATTCGTGTCAGAATCAAATGCCACATTTGACAATTTAGTTGTTTTATTGTAAGAGCTCAATATTTTCATAAGACTAGAAATTCCTGGGTTTCTTACAATGTCTATTTCTTTACCTGCGACTTCATA